CAGTCAGAGTCCTCCTCGTCAACAGTCAAGGACAACACTCCCACATCAACAACAATAAGCTCAGGAGCAACACGTGACTACCATCTGGAGCGGTCAGAGTTCAGTATATCCCCGGATGGCAGCAATGCATATCTTCAGAGAAGCCTCTACCTTCAGGAGCTGTTCGCCAATAATTAACAGCTGTAGGAGTAGCACGAGCAACAGCGAGAACAGTCTTTTGCTTGAGGCAGAATTTGGTCTAAAGCAAGCTTAACTCCAGAGGAAACAGTTTCTGAGATCAGTGACAGTACAAATGTAAAAATTGCTTCAAACTTCAATGCATTCATGCCAAGAAATCATATTTAAGAACTAGCATCATGGTAAAGTAAGCACAACTTCCCTGCTAGGTGAGAAGTAGCGCTATTTAATTGAGTCCTGTAGATGGCAGAGTGATCTGTAGACTTAACCCCAGGCTTTGCTGTCCAACAGAACGATTTATGCAGATGATATACCTAGTTTGTCCTACGATAAAATTATCCCTGGGTGCTTGAATCAGTCCTTGAGAATTTGTAAGAATTTACAAGAAATTTAAATCAAACTACAGTCATTTGCAAAAGTTTCAGACCACTTGGAATTCTATGGGTATATCTGTCAATGGGCCTGCATTCCTTTGTCTCAATGGATGATTACATAACGTGTTTACTGTAGTGGTCCATATCATGAAAGTAGATCTTGTTGGCCCATTCGAATGAAAGTTTTGCCAAGACAGGTCTTGTATGGAGTTTTATCTTCACTGCAGCATGGGTTAAAAAGCCACTCTAAGTAAGGTTCAAATGGTCCAAATACATGTAGTGACCCTCCATCAAGAGGGCTACTCTGAATGTCAATTTAGCAAGAGGACTGGTTGCGGCAAGACTGTTGTGCACAATGCCATTTCAAAATATCAGAGAGATGGCTCATTTTCTCACCAAAAAAAGCACGGTCATCCAAGAAAAACTGCTCCTGGTGAAGATCATGTGATCCAGCGAATTATTGTGAAGGATCCCTCAAGTTCTTGTCAAACATCAAAGTAGCTTTGCAGTCCACTGGGACAAATGTTAGTGTAAGCACCATTTCTCGTCATTTGAGCAAAGAATTTTGCTCAAGTCACATCAACCTGGCCATAAACCCCTCCCCAAGAAGGCAAGGAAGGTGAAGAGGCTCAGTTTTGTCAGGAAACTTGAGTCCTGGACTGCAAAAGACCAGTCAAAATTTTTTTTTTCAGATGAATCAATTGTACAACAATTTGTATCATGCAAAGCCCATGTCTGAAGACCTAATGGGAAGAGAACTGATTCACGATACACAATTGCGACCATGAAACATCTCCAAAGCCAGATGAAATGGGATGCCATGTCCCATACTGGAGCATCCGGTCTGGTCTTCCTACCACCCAATACCACCATGAATGGTCCAAAATACATGTATGTTATACTCTCATAGGATCAGCTGAAAACGTGTATAGATGCCCACAGATGCAAAATGTTCTTGCACAATGGTGCTCCATACTACGAATCCAAGGTGGTTAAGGACCTCTCATTAAGGAACAAAGTCAAAGTTCTTGACTGGCCTGGCAAAAGGCCTTATCTCAATCCAATCGAAAGTCTCTGGTGTGAAGGTTGTGACAGACAAGGTAGCGGACAAGACAGCCATCAAATGCCGAGGAATAAACTAGTGGAAGCCATAAACAGGTCTGGGAGAAGAAAATCTCAGAGGACTACTGTTATTCTCTCATCCCCAGCATGCCACATTGCATTCAAGAGGTCATCAAAAACTGAGGAGGGCACACTAAATATTACACGGATAACATTTCAAATCAATGAAAATGTAGTCAAACAGTATTTAAGGCAAGACAATAATATTACACATTGAAAATAAATGTTGTAAGTTTCAAAGATTTATTTGCTAAAGCTTGGTTTTCCTTTCAGTTACTCCATTTTGTATAAGTGGTCAAACTGTTGCAAATGACTGTTTTTGCATGTATAACCGATTTCAAGATTTTCTCTTTACATTCCCTAGTGTAAGAAATGACTCAAGGGTGAACAATGTTCCCTATGAAATGAAAAAAAATGAAAAGTTTGGTTTTCATCATCTTGTAATTTCTTGCACATTTTTGGAACTCCGATTCAGGCTAACCCTGTATCTTCCCATTTGGTGTTTGTTTTACTCTCTTCCATTCACTTCCTTTATTTAAAGCATTTTTGCACTACATGCCTTAGATTGTTTTTCTTAGTGGAATGTTACCACAGCAAAGGTTGATATAAATAAACCTTTACATGTACTTAAATCAACTGAATTGGAATGAACTTATTATGCTCCATGGAAGAAAGCAATTTGCCATGCGCAACATTCTAAGCACACTTTTTCAACCACCAGCATCCAGCATCACCCCCTCCCACACAGTGGAAGCCAGTACAGCTTATTTTAAATGGAGAATGTAAAAGGGCGGTATTTAGAAGTTTTATTAGTTTAAAAAAGACACTCTTTAGACTGCTTGATGACGCTTGGTTGTTTGTTTTTTTTTCTTCTTGTATTTGGCAATCAAAGATATGCCCAGCAAACATAAGCACTTCCTGGTAAAACAGACAAATGTTGCAATTTAATTTCAAAGATGCTGACTGTGCTATCACCTGAAACATGGTGAGGGACGACTTTTTGCTGAAAAAAAAGTGACACAAACTCATTTTTGAGTGTTTGTGTTTATTGGGGCATGCACAGATACTTGGATCTCAAGCAGAAATAAATTTAAATAAAATTAAAAACAGCACCAAGCTGAGAGTTTCCTTTTAAAATCAGACAAGGTCCAACTGCCCCAACTGACATTTAATATTTAAAATTGACAGTATCTTCTTACGCTTTTTTTTTCTCTGAAGGGGAGGGGGTTCACATCAGTGTACAAGTAGATTGGGGGCATGGATCTTGGTCTCTTCATATTGAGATCTTCCCTCCAGCTTCTCTTTTCTTCATCGCGATACCTTCCAGAGGGAGACCACTGGGCAGTTGACCCATGACAGGTGGTTCCTAACGGAACTGTCACGGTGTATATCTCAAACTTTTAAATGTACCACCACCAACCTAAAAGGGTCCAGGCCCTTGGCAAGAGTCTAGCTGAGGGTCTTCTTGACCTCCCTCTCCTCGAGTGTGGCTGGCTTTGCACCTGCATATTGACTTGGTGTCAATGGTGTAAGAGCACTGTCGATTGCAGCGGATGACCATTCAACATAACCCGGTCAACTGAGAAGTCCCCTCTAGAGTCCCTACTACCCAGTACTTCGGGGACCTTTCCAATAGGGGGAAGCCCCCCTTGCAAGGATTATTTTCACCACAACTCCGTGCCTCAGAAAATTTATGAGGGGAATTTCGAGAGGCATTTCTCAGAGGGCCCAAAGAATTGAAATTCATGAAGTCCAGTTTAATGTTGCTGGTGTGAAAGCCTCTGAACTGACACGTGCCTCAGCCCATGAATGAAACTCTCCTCTGCTGTGTGGTGCTCGAACAAGGTCAGTATTGAGCACTATTTGCAAAAGCCTTGAAGATGGCAAGTTTTCATGCAAAAGAGATTTATTATATGCACTGGTGCAACATGGTCATTCTTGCACTTTGAGTCAATTGAGCTGTTCTTTCAAAGTGAAATGCCTTTGGGTTTTGGAGAATTAATTATTGAGAGTATGCAAGTCATTTTATGTTCCAAAGGACAAAGTTTCTGAGCTACTGTTGCTTTGATTTTAAAGATTTCCCCTACCAACGGAGATTTTTGAAGTTTGACAGAATCCTCCACAGGTACACACTGTCACTCCGCAAGTGTCTTTATCAGTATCTGCATTGAAGTAGGTAGACGTTCGATTCTCAACATGCTCCTGACATCAGACCCTTTAAAATCCACCGTGGGTTTTCAGAAGGTCGTGGCAAATTTCTGTGTGTTACATGTTGGGTCAGCCCAATTTCCATCTGTATCTGTCAGCCAAAATCAAATACTCTATGGAGATTCATTCATAGGTAAAATGATGCTGCAATTAATGATGATACAAAATTGTCAGAAAAATGCGTATATGCATACTGTGCATAGTGGTGACATCTGACTCCCTGTTATCTGAAATTGCAGGATCTGCAAGTAAGTGATGGTCCTTGAATCTGATCTTTACTTGCTTTTGACCAACTATCCAGTTTTGATTTTTGAAACCAAGAATCCCCTAAAAAAAAAACCAGGCATAGAGAGCTTGCTCAATCCAGTTTCAAATTATTCCATGAAAAAACTTCCTGACAACTAAAATAATGCTGCAGAAATATTTATAGATAATGAAACCGCACATTTCCGACTAGACATAAATAACAAAAGTATGTAGATGGCTTCCTGAAGTTCTATCTTTCGCTCCTTTCCGAGTTCCATGAGAAAAAAATATATCCAAAACATATAACAATTACTGTAAGGCTACCAAACATGAAAAGGAACATTTCGTATTCAGTTTGAAGTTCTGCATGAGATCAGAGGCCATGTAACACTCAACTCCTGAACACAATACTGGATTGCATCACAGGTGTCGCCAGGGGTTTTCCGCCCATTTTTTTCCAGGGGAAAAGAATTTTGGTTGCGGGGGAGGGAGCACTCATCATGGTTCATATATGATGTTTAACCCTGCCTGAACTTGCCATTGTGTAAGTGGAGCAAAGGTATGGGCCACTGAAAAACTGAGCTGTGACTGTTTGTGTTGAATGGTGACAAAAAAAAGTGCAAAGTGCTCTCATTTCCTGGTTCCCCCCCTCCCCGTGGAGCAATCTAAACATATTTATGTTAATTATGAACCAAACTACATGTAACCAGAGGAACTTACTGCCTGCGACCGGCATCCATTTGATTTTCTTCCGCAGTGGTGAGGGGCTGGTATATTTCTGTCTAACATGTTTTTACAGGCTGCTCCGTAACATGACACGTAGTGGCGTACAGTTTCTGGGGCAAATCTGTCAACAACCAAGTTCTACCACTGTTGGCAGATTTCCAGAATTATCCATTTACGATAGCTTGCCTTACATGAATGGGCTGACGGAAAAAGAGCTGGCGCATATCCACGAACTGAATTACACAGACATCAGTGTTCATTTTTTTTTTATCCAGCAAACACATATAGAGCAAAGTTTAGGCTTTTAGGAGTTTATCTATTGATCTGGAGGGCCTCTGAGGAGTTTCAAACTTCTATTTTTGAGGTAAGTGTGGAAGATTTTGCTCTCTTACAGGGAATTTTATACATGTAAATGTACTCTCCAGCCCTACTGTGCAAATTTGAAGATGAGAAAACAGTTCATTAATTCTGGAGTTTTGCCCAGGCCTACGTGTATCTTAACACTGTATACTCCTTGTATTCGAATCAGATGTAGCAGTGGGTACCGCGAACAACTATTTCAAGGATAGATTTGTGCCAGGGAGAGGGCAAAACTCATGCATACCTGACTCGCTCTGTTTGGACCAGCCGTGTGGCTTCAACTTGAAGTATATGCATAAGTACACAGAAGCATTTGAAGCAAGCCACCACCATAGATTTGTGCATAATTCCAACCCACAGCAGCTAGACAAAACCTAGTTGGCACATTTTGTCAAGCACATATTGACCTGGGCATATGAATTCAAACATCTCCTTGGCGACCAACCATTTTTCACATGTAATCTTGCGAGAGGTAGTGTCAGAGAAAGGTTTTGTACTCATGAGAAAAGGTTGAATAATGAATGATTCTAAACTTCCACCATTGCATAAAGTGTCGCGAAACCTGCTGCAGGTATCACACATGTGCACATTTTTGTTATTTGACAATATTCTTGGAGAGTTTTTGAAATAGAGCTACATGTACCAGTAAAAAAAACAAACAGTGAAATTAGGATGTCACATTTCACCACTACTGCACTGCGGCTTGCTTTGTGAAAGTGCCAATCAGTGTATCACCAATTATTGGGAGAGGCAGTGGATATAGAGAGGTGACAAGATGTCTGATGCTGAGGCCCTACAAGTTATTGTATTGAATGATAGCACCAATTTTCATTTTCATGCAGTATTCTTCCCTATAATTTACCTCCAGCAATGGCCAATCACCTTTTACTTCACGAAGAGAACAAAGTACAGGTAAACACTTATGCATGTACTTGTAAATTACTTCAAATTAAAAATTATTATTATAAATAATAGTATTAATTGGCCCATTCAGCATTCCAATGGCGCATGCTCAAAATGAAGAGCGTCCGAGGTCCCTCGGATTTGTGCGCAAAGTCTGCCCAACTGGCACAGCCCAATGCAGACTCATGCCCAGGCTTTGATCCCCACTGGCGCTGCTGCTTTTTTAAAGCCGCACTAGAACGGATTCGAAAATTGTGATTTTCTCCCGCAAATGGCATGCACTGCTGTAATTCTTCACATATACAAGCTTACATAACATTTCGGATGTTTTCTTAAGTCTCAGGGAGAGCAGAGTTTTATACAATATTGCCCAGACTGAACAAGCCTTTTGCAAAAATGGAAGAGTCATCATCAACCAATTTACATATCCTGCATAATGCAGGAATGAACAATGACGTAGGAGGTAGTATTCAATTGGCTAGTATGTACATGTACATAATTATGTACACATGTAAAGTGCACATTTACAACGAGTGTACGCCATACATGTACTGTACATCGTGAAAGTTAAAAAAAAGTGTCTGGAGGCGAAGACGTCTAGGAAAAACACAGCAAGGAGGAAGTGGATTAATCTGAGGCCAGTGACGCAGTTTCATCAGAAAAAAAGCGGGGTGCCCGGTTTCGGGCACCGTGGGTTTATACGCAGATTCGGCTTGTCCAGTTTCAGACAAAACAGCTGGTCCGTGTTACAAAAGACCATACTCAGAACCTGCTGCTGGGAATAGCCATCATTTTTCGGCTTGCATTTTTGGAAGGTAATCCATCACTGTTTTGAAAAAGCATACCACTGTTTTGGGCATAGCACACCCGCGGAATAGCACCGCGGACAAAAGTGCTCCAGGGCCCATTGATGAGCGACACAGCACCGCTGCACGCTGATCCAGCAGCGTATGAAAAGACGCTACTGGCATTCACCAGAACAAAGGAAATTACGCAACACCTCACAATTCAGGGCTGTCTTTTACAGCTCTACAGACCTGGCTGAAATACTTCCGCATCAGTGAAGGTTGCCTGTCAGATTAGAGTAGCCACCAGTCATTATTCGTGTGGGTGTAAACCTCCAGTAAATGAACACATGAATTTTTGAAGAATTTTGAAAACGGAAAATCTTGAAAAGGCCCCAGCATCTCATCCCACTCAGGAAAAATCCACCCGGCAGAAAGTGGTAAAGCTAACATGGCATCGTGAGACATACATGTAGGCAGAATTAGCAAAATCAAACTCTTGTTCGTGTTTTCACTCGAACATGACGGAGCTTTTCCTACCACGTACGTGCACCATGTGGCTTGTTCTTGTTACCCTCCATCATTCATGACAACATGGTTGCATGCCCTGGTGTACATGTACAAAAGAGGCTTACGTGCCAAGTCTATGAGGCATATTCATGTACTTTAATTTCAGATGAACATGTCTATCATTACACCTTAGGAATTCCAAATGTAAGGCACACTGATAGCTTGCAATTTTGACTCTACTGTTTGACTGTTTACAACAGGGGGACGAAGAATGTGGTACATCACATCAGTGGCGCTCACCAAAGGAAACTGCAAGTTTTCTTAATCGTAGAATTAATTTAACTACACGTACACATATGTAGAAACTGTAAATTAGTGGTTGATTTGCCTCTTGAAAGTCCTTATTAAGGTACAAGAATTTTTCAAATCGGTCTTTAAACTCAAGAAGAAACTGTGTGGATCTCAAATAACCTGAAACACTAATACTCATTTTGTTGTGCAAAGGCCAATCAGGGGAAAAAAAAGTAAAAAGAAAGAACATACACGTACACATGGGTAGGCATTCACCACGTTCAGGGGACAAGTTCTTCTGTTAGGGAAGTTTGAACTGAGTTGTGGAGACATTTCTGAGCCCCCACAATGCTTTTGGTCCCCACAAAATAGGTGAAATATTGAGTGTACGTCCCCACAAATACGGTGCAGGAGTGTGTGTACATGTATGCATGTGCATGTACAGTGTACACATTTCATGTTCACACATTACCTGCCATACTCCTTGTGTTCATGTACATGGATGTACATCATGTACAGTGTTACATTTATTAAAAAGAATACACAGATGGTGAATGCATGTAATACATGTAGGTATACTACGGGTAATATTTTCATTTATCCCACAGGGGAAGGCAACAAAACGGAAACATAGTGGTAACAACGGCAACTATGAAGCAAAGAAGCTTTGTACTGGCAGCAGCCCCGCTCAGGTACAGTTGCACATCTGACACCGACGTGTACGTGCATGAGCATCATTCTTGATTCTACATTGTATTTTCTTAAACACGGTAGTTAAATGCACCAGTGTGTGTCCAATGCAGAATTACAAACTTGGACGTGGAACACCTTCTGGGGGGAAAAAAATGAAAAAAAAAAACACTACTGCAACTTTCAACTGCCCCCTTGCAAGTGCATCATGTCAATGAACATTTGTCAAAAAATGTGAATGACGTGTAGTTGTTGATGCATTCCTAGCATAACAGGGGCAAAGTGAGCCCTTATAATCCCCTGCCACGTGGCTATACTCTGGATGCAGATCTCAGCAAGGGGGGGGGGAGGGGGGGAGGGGGAAGCAAAGGGGACAGGGGACTAGGGCACAGCCCCCACACCTTTTCTTGACTGGGCACAATGGTACAGTCTCTCACTCTTGGTCGGAACACAGTGAGGTGGGGCTTAATGGATAGATGTATTTATGCCAAATGCATGATGGTCTCATCGCAGCCCCTTTGAAAATTGCTCCATTACCGTCAGGTGATAGGCAGCTCAGATTACAAACATTAACATTACAAGAAATCACTGCCAATGGTTAGCAATTAAAAGCTAAACATTAAATCTACTTCGTACACCATGCTGAGAACCCCAAAATGGTCCCTCTCTTAGAAAAACTAAGAAATTTGTTTTAAGTTTTAAATCATCAAAAAAATTATTAAAAACTGAACATTTTCCACCCTTGTGTGAAAAACTTCTTTCTGACATACTGTAGTCGGTCACTGCAGATCTTAATGTTAAGATACATGTATGTGGACATCAACTGATAATTATGATGAAAGCATTTAGCAAAAGAAGGTAGGCCTATGTTTCCTGACACCTGTCCCCTCTTTTCTTTGGATGTCAAGTGGTCTTTAATTAATTTTTACATACAGAATATTCTCTACAAAACATTTCTCATTTTGATATTTGGGTTTCCCTCCATTTGGCACATGCCCCCCCCCCTTTGTAAATTTGGGATTTGCCACTCTTTAGGGTCAACAAGTTTATCTATCTGTTCTCCTTAACCTGTAGCAAAAAGGTACCAAAAGAAAAAGGAGTGCACCACACAGTGACCAATGTGAAGAACAAAAGAAAGGACGGTGCTTCCCAGTCCAGGTACCTGTACATCTTTACAGTATTACAAGTCCAGGTACATATCGTCAGTGGTATCCTTTAAAACTGGCATTCATTGCAAACAGTCAATACTCTCTATGTTATGTTTAACTGATGCATCTTTTCAAATCCAGTTTATGTTCCAGTGTTGTATCCAGCTTTCGGTGTGGAGGGGGATTCAAAGTGTGTGGACTTTGGGCTTATTCAACATGATGATGGTGAAGAAATAAATACCACAAGCCTTACTCGTGGTCTCAACATCCTTGCTTTATCTCTCGGTGGTGTTTTCTTAGGGTTTTGTTGCTACTATATGAGAAACGTAAATAAATATTTCATAGATAAATTTTAAAATGTGAAGAAAGAAGAATATGTGGGGGAAACTTACCCCCTCCCCCTGGATACACCACTGTCATGTTCTCTTTTAGTAAAAACTGTTTTGTTCTTCAGTGGATTTTTAGTTGTGATTTTCATATGTATTTCAATGCTTCCTGGGATTTGTGCCGAATAAATCTGTTATTTATCATTGCGTTTTAAAGGTTCTGCCCCCTGACGACTTCTCAAGTCAGTCTCGGCCAATGGCAGTGTGCAGTGTTGCTTGAGGGCCAGAAACGCTGATCTATTCTGGTGGAAGTTTATGCTGCTATAACCAAAGCACACCACTAAATGGAAGATAAACACTGACTCGCACCTCATACAAATATAAGACAGGGGGCCTGGGAGGGAAGGGACCTTACACCAGAACTGAGGTTGAGAAATGCACTTATATTATACATGCACGCTTACTTGCCTTATGTAACTAGTGTGAACCTCCTAAGAAAAAAAATCCTCATAAAGTGGGGTTAACCACTTGATGCTGAGGGACCCATTTTGGAGTACATGTACATAGGCATTATACTCCTAGCCGGAAGAGCTAAAAACCAGAACAAAAGAACTGGGCTTGGAACAAAAGACTGTGCTCGGCACAAAAGACTGAACATTCCACCCTAGCAGACCCACCCCGTGGGATCTGCTTACGAGGTGCCTCATGATTCCCTTACCTATAAGCCCTGAGCTTGACTAAGAGATGGCGCAATTTCCTTAGCAACAGAGCCTCCTTTGAATGGAACTGAACTGCGCTGTTTCACGATAGACTAGGAAATGCACGTTACAGTTGCAAAGCTACCCCCCCAAAAAAATGAACATTCCTGAACAATGTGGCTCTTTTCAACCCATGAGGGGGTGCTTCTACTTGAGGCAGATAGATTACCAAAGCATAACGCCATTGTGAACTAGGATGTGAAGTTCAGACGAATGGAATACGTACGCGTATGTTGGTTCCCACGCTTGTTCTCGCACTATACACACAACACTGTGCCAATGACATATTCACTTTTATTCATTTATTTATTAATTTACTGTTCACTTCACTCTATAGACCTTTTTCACCCACACGACTAAATGTATCAACATAACCACCACGGGTGGTCTGCCTTGGCCACAGTGATCGCATATATTCCTACAGGCAGCTTCAACCACGTTCTAGCACATGTGCGAAAGCTGTATGCTTGACTAGTTTATCTCAAATAGGTAGATTACCATCACAACACTATGCAATCATTACCATCACAACACATTGTAGGTCCAGCACAATTGTGATATCACTGGAAAAAGTCTATAGGCCTCTTAAGTCTGGAATTGAGACTGTACAGAATCTCACTACTATTCATTGGGATAAACTTTTATGAATTAAAAAAAATGGACCTGACCTGCACGGAGTATGTGACTCCACCCACAGCAACGTAGTTGCGGCTGACTGGCAATGAGGTGGGACAGCTTCCTGCCAATTGAAAAGAGAATGATGCTCACTAGTGCTTAGCTGCTTTTAAAGGGCACGTGTTGCAAACTTGTGCTCCTGAAACCTCCAAATGAGAGCAATGTGCAGCACAGGGAACCAGTGAAGGAATGCCTTGTGCCCTCATGGCTGCACAATGCCAAGTTTGCCAACTAAAACTACTAGTACACTGCTGTGGTTTTTATTATCAATCTCTCCTCTTTCCTTCACACAGTGCTCAGAGGATAATGATATGACTGTCCTCGTTGAGCCACTCAAGCTTTTGGTGGTAAGAATTGCCACACATTCATTGTTGTAACTTTACTCACGGATCTACAATTCTACAGGATCAACACTCATTTGAACCAACATGGACCGTGCTTAAATGTTTAGATGTACACTCAAAGCTAAATGTACTTTTAAAGGTTTCTAAAATTTGCACAGGATAATCCAACGCCATTTTTCAACTCTTCCTAAATTAACACAGTTCACTGAAAAAGATGACGTTGAGAGATCCAAGAAGATGCATGCACTTCAGGTAAGAATGTGGAATAATGTTTGATACAGCTATAAACAAGATGTTCTCTATCCTCCATTAACTGCAACTTGGACATGTATTTGATCATATATGTATTTGATCATACAATGTGCGAAACTGCTCCAATACTCGGAAGAAAAGATGTTCTGGGAGGGGGGAAAGAAGGAAAAGGTCAAACGTTCATTATTGCAACTTAAACGACTGCAACCTCTTGACTGAGCTTACTTTTTGCGTCAAAAGGAATCTGTCAAGAAATAAACGTCTGAATGGAGAATAATTTGTAAATATCTATGACAATTTATTTTTTTGTCGCCATCATGTTTTTGGTCTCCAGAAAATAGGTGAAATATCAAGCGTCAATGTACCCATAACTACAGTTGGGAACACACGTGTCCATGCAGTTGTGTTTCCGCAGCCAGTTTTAATCACATTTTTTCAAGGGGAGAGAACTCTGAATCCATCGTGATCACACTAAACCCAGATCTTCAGATTTAGCTTTATATAGTGTAATTCTACCACCAGAATTAGAAGCCATTACTGCGGTGGCACAACGCTCGTGGACAGGTGGTACGCGCGCGTTACGTGCCTCTTCCACCAATAGGGTGTCGTAATTTGTCAAATGCTCGTGCGCGTCAAGCTGAAGAATGTGTGCCAGTGCGGTGCTACCGCAGTTATGGCGTCTAATCGGATTAGTCTATAGCCTGTACAGGGTGATACACATGGGACAAGGATCAGCTTTAATTACTAAACTTAACTCCATTTTATTCCAAAGGAGCACCACCCGCACCTGACGTTTGACCAAGACAACACACACGTATATGCAAGTATTGTCTAAGTGCAATGAACCAGGTACTTTTTGAACAAGAGGAAATCAAAACAAACGGAAATGCAGAAACATACTCTAAGAATTCTCCCTTTACAAGATCTCTGAAGAATGCAGCGACTACCGAAGACAAAACAACAAGTGAATACTACAGAGATGGTTAGTAAATTGTAGATTTGCAGTGACCAGTCAAAGTCTTCAGCTGTTCCATTTGGAGGTCACCTGCAAACTCCCAGGCCCCTGAGAAATAGTTCTGAACACACCTGTGCCCCTATCACCCAGTTTTTCCATGGGCCATTCTGTTTAATTCGCAGCACTCCAAAGCCAACGTGAAGGTACTTCGACCGCTACACCTCGTTCTTCGAAGGTTTTCTTTGGAGGTTTTGGAACAGCTGATACAAACTGATAGTCCTATTAACTGCATCTGGATATGTACAAATGTACAAATTGGTACTTGTTCACTGCAATGTTTTTAGAGGAATCATTATACTTACTTCCAGTCTTTGTTTTACCATTTTTATATTTTTACTTCTATTGTTTTTGCAGGTTTTCTTTGAAGGAATAAATAAAAGGTGATGCTTTAGCTTCAGGGTTAAACCATGTGGCCTTGAGAGTAACCCAAACTCACAATCTATTACTGAAATGATAACTGGTTAGTTACGCTATTTTCAGGCAGGGGGAAGGAGGGATCTTACGGAAAGAAGTTGTACAATTGACAAAATAATTAACTGAGAACGAGGAGTTTTTCTTATTTGAAGTTTAAGGAAGTTTGCAAGGAACTATACCTATGTATACCCAGTGTTGGAAACTCTAACCTACACATACGTAGTGCCCGAGGTCTTTCATGTGTTGTACTTAAAAGCCAGGGTGAGATACATCACTGAAAAGGACCGAAGATCCATGCAATGTGGTTTTAGACTTCTTCAAACGTGAAACCTGAGCCACTGTTGCAGAGTAAAACTGATATAACAAGTGAGTTTGGATTTAGGAGAGACCTGATTGTAGGTGGCAGACTGGTCCATTTCTGCTGTTTCTTTTTCGTGACAAGTCCCAAACAAATTGACAGGGACTGATGCTATCATACACCAAAGCAGAGCTGCAGGCTGGTTTTAATTGATGGTTATTAGTCTGCCTAACTGCCATGAGAGATTTGTTAAGTTTGACAGAATGCTCTCACAGGACACAAATTGGCACACCATGCATGTTGGAATCAGTGACTACCGGTACGTAAAGGTAGGTGAGAATACATTGTTGCAATAAAGTAAATCTTTCAGATTCGTCAAAATCCAGTGAGAGAGGTTCTTGTGCTGGGATGATTACATTGTATGTACTGTCCAAGGTTGTCCTGGTCGAGACCAGACACGATGACATGCACATGCATTCCATGAGGCTTGATGACCAATGAAAGTTGAGGTTCATGCTGCAGGGCCTGTTTCCTGCTCAACGGCTGATTCCAAGATGTACATGTATAGTTAACACTAAATCCAATGCTTTTGCTGGGATTCTTTCACAATACAATAAACCAAAGGTAATTCCTTTGTCTTAAAACTAAGATGTTCGCTGAATCATACATTTCCACCTGTACACAAAAGTAGTTGCCAATTTATGCATTATAGCAGATTAAAGAGGAACTTTTCATTACTCTTACGGTGTGAAACTTAATGTGGTTGAAAAATTTAGCATTTTGATTGTTAAAAATTAATGCATAGTTTCATCTTGCACAGTGCCTTTAGATGCATGGATGTTGACTGTGCAGTTAGTGATGATAAAAACAAGTCAGAAAACATGCGCATGTACATGAACCTTGTGTACTGTGCATGCATGCTAATGCTGACATCTGACTGCACGTTATCTGAAATTGCACAGTCACAATGTAAATGAACTTAACAAAATTAGCAACCACTTCAAATACAGTCTACTAATGCTCCTTTTCTACTGAGTTGGCATGGTATCTGTTTTGTTTTCATTATGGAATTCAAAGGCAATGTGTCACTTTAAAACACCACCTGCTACTCTAGGTATTCTGAGTGACATGTAGTAAATTTGTTAGAGATCTCAGTCTCTGTATCAGTGACATCTACGTACATCGGAAAGTGAAAATGTACAGGTTCCCTATGAATGTCACATTCCCTTTACCAAATCCATAACATGCTATGACCAAATGGACTGAACTGAAGAATGGAAGACTCCAAGAAGGATAAAGACCAACAGATCTTGTTGTGCAGTCAAAATGCTTGGCTTTCAAATAACTTTTAGAAATGTGATAGGGCTGTTGATACATTGCAGTGCAAAGTTTCACAGGACACTTTAAGCATCAGTTAATCTCATCAGGTTTAAAACAAAAATGGTTTTGACATTAAGAATACTCACCCACTATCATTCTATTCCTGTTGACTACGTAAAAGTATTCAGTTCAGTTATGGACTGCACTGTGCCCAAATTATTTAGTAATAACTTTCTATTATACTGCTAAAACTTTTAAAAAATGTGTAGGGCTTTTGGCATTCCAAGTGACTGTGTGCATCTATGCAAGTAAACAAACCAAGGGATGTTACACAATCCTCAATTTTGAAAAGAACAGAACATTAAAACCTGTATCTTGAATTACAAATATTACTTGAGAAACAGCATTCCAATATAATTCCAATATCTCATGTAACAGTTACTAAGCAGTCAAATGAATAATGAATAAGTGGTGGACAATAAATAAATGAAAGAATAAAACAGCCCCACACACTTCTTTCCAAATACTTGCTCTCAACTGCCTCCTTATTTTGCCTACATTGACATACTACAGCTTTATAACCTCAACCCTGCTGAACCGGAAACCAAAATCCAAAACAGGCAGTAACTTGGGATTATTCAAGCAGTCTTCAACTGAATCAGTAATAAAAAACATTACAGTCAGGGTTTTTGGTGAGACTTTAATTCAACTTTTCAAGGTGGAAATTTAACCATATTTCACTGCTGCTGTATTCGGAAAGCTCAGCGCACACAAGAAATCCTTAATGAAATTTAAATTTATATTTCTTTTGCAGATTCTACATCTTGATAGGCCGATGGCCAGTCACTTGGTTTTCAATAGTTTTGCTATCTCACGGTGAACAGCCAAAAGAACTAAACCTGTGGTAATTAAAGTGCTACAAGACAGTAAAGGAACATATACGCATGATCAGCGACATTGTGTGATGCGAACTGGTGTGCGTGTCGCATCCATTCCAAAGTGCTAGCACCAGAGAACTGGGTACAAATCTTCAAAAAGAATTTCTTTTTCAAGTAGATGCACCTTTCATTTGGATTGAATTTTTCAGTTATCACTTCAATCAAGTAGAATCTGTGAAAAATGTGTCCTAAAACAAATATTGAATGTTTCATCTCATGGTGTTGGACAGATATAGGTGGCCGTCTGAGATGATCCACGAAGCATTCTATTTTCTCGAGGTGAACAAAGCAGAGGGAAATATCTGCCTCGAGGAGAAACACCCCTCATGGGTTGACAGGAGCCATGCTTTTATGAGGAATGTGCATTGTGTTGATCGTGATGTGACTGCAACACCTGTATTTTTACACTCGTACATAATCCAGAGCACTGTAGTTCTACCAAATGAGCCTCAGGTACTTGTCAAATTGCGCCCTCTCTTGATCCCCCTCGAGGCAGATAAAATGCTCCACGGATCAGTGAGGGAAGCTGGTGTTATACCACCACAAAGCCATCAATAGGTGTACTGTTTAACTTCCTGGATATTACCGACTCAGTACCCTCTAGAACAATGCAGAGAGACATTAGACAGATATACCCACAAAGTCATAACACATCTAAATAGCTGTGCATTTTGTGCCAATTCAAATGAAAATGGGTGCTCTGTAACATAAGCTGGATGTGACGTGAACCACTTGGTCAGGAAATGTACATGTATGTAGACACATACAAGGACATACAGGTATTTACTTCAGATGAGTGGATATAATACAGTTTATTAGCAGACAACATGAAACACATGGAGACAAAAATACTGGTGTGTCACTTTTGCCTCAGCCAGAAGGAATATATTCATCATATTGTAACGCGAATGTCTGGTGACCCTTTAAACTCTAGAGGAATGGCAGTGGGGTAACTGTCAGGTGATTGACAACGTGTTTTTAGTGAGTAAATTATGTTGTGGAAAGTGGGAAACTGAACTAATAAGACTGCCATGATGGAAAAAGGGGGGGAGAGTTTGACAATATCCGGAGTATGATAAAAATTAGTAAATGGAAGAAAGGTTCAAATGGGTATTGTGGACCATTGTTTTGCATCTTTGTGCTAAGATGGTGTTTTCAAGACTGTGGAAAACAGGGGAGGGAATTAAATAATGTCAGAAAGGGGAAAATTAGTCAGTCTAAGCCGAGCTGC